AATCTAGTATGCACCACGTTCCATGTATCATCATCAATAGCTCGGAGACGGATCTTCATCTTCTCTTTCCAGAAGGGATAGTCCATCCCATCAAAGATGGGAATCTTGAGGTGCGACTTGTAGCTCACTGAAGACATACTTAAACTCTAAGGTGGTTAGACTAAAATGAGCAGAGTCAAGGAGTACCTTGCTCTGATACCAATTGTAGGAACGAAGTATGTCTACCAGAGGGGGGTGAACGGGAGTTTTAAAATTTCTTCGAAAATATCAAAAGTCTCGAAACCTAGCAGTGGAGCGAATGAAAATAATGTACAGTGAGTGAATACAAACTAACGAATGGAATCTAAAAGCATGCATCGAGACAAATCACATGATTGAAAAAATTCAAATGTAAAGAGGAGAAGCAGAGGTAACTAGTGATGCTCGATGGCGACAAGGAATTTGGTAGACCAGTTTGCCCTTCTGCAAGAGGACTACGTCTGGTTGGAGGGGTTGTGATTTAACACGGAATATAAACTCTCTTCGCCCTATTCTCCTTGACAATTGGTTCGTCAACAAATGTTGATCACTCGTGGTAGATACTTGAGGCAATCTTCGAACCTTTACAGACTTCTTCTTCGAGAACCACAATTACTCTTGGTCTCTGAAGAAATTGACACCTAACCGTCTAGAGAGTTTGCAGGTCCGAAGAGTAATAGGCGGAGCGTACTGGACTTAGATTCGAGTGATGCTGAACTACTATCTATTTTTTTAGCTCTTGGGTTTTTCTCTCGGTGAATTTTAAAATCAAATCACTCAGGAGAGGGGGTTGCTCAACACTCTTCTCACAATCAAACGGAGCAGCCACCAAACAACGCCGGTGCGGGGTAGCTATTTATAGCCGCAGCCTTCCCTGGTGGGAAATGACCATTTTGGAGACGTGTTCCAGCCAATGGCCAACCGACACGTTCACAACGATCGCATTTCAAGAGCTACGATAGCATTACTTAAGGACCAAGTAATGCTAACTCCTCGGTCAGAGACAAATCTCTCGCAGCAAAGAAGATCATAGTCTCTTGCTGGCAAGTATTTGCTCAGAACACAAAGAGATTTCTCTCACAACTTTCATAGGACTTGGGTTTAGCATCAAAGAATCAAGGCTTCCAACTCTACACCCCTCTTAGTAGTACGGTGGTCCTGTGACACAATATAGAGGAGAGAAACAACGAAATAAATTCTACGTCTTCACTTCGTCTTTAATCTTCTCGGTCGCAGTCACTTCCTTCAAACAAGCACCGAACCAATTGCTTTGCGTCGGCAATTTTTGAGGGGTCACTCTTGTTATCATAATCTTCGGTGATAACTTTCACTTCCACTCAGGTGATTATCTTTGGCATTTGAATCAAACTCGTCTTGACTCCAAGGACCTGTTACTCTGTGTGCACTAGCAAACACATAAGTCCCATTCTGTGTACGTCAACAAACTCCAAAACATAAGGAGGCAAATTATTGCACCAACATTAGGAACTTGGGGTTGAGCTAGTGGATGGCTATGAGGATTATGATGACTTGGATACTCTGCTTATTTACTAGTTATGCTTTATTGTTGTTCTATTATAGTTACCTCAGCTAGTTACTTAGATAGAATGTATATCTTTGATGGACAGACTTTAGTATTAGAGATGATCATATTTGGGGAATGACTTTAGTATTAGAGATGGTCATATTTGGGGAATCACTTCACTATTAGAGGTGATCATATTTGGGGAATGACTTTAGTATTAGAGATTGACATGATTGGGGTATGACTTTCGTATTAGAAATGATCATATTTTGGGAATGATTTTAGTGATTGATATGAGGATAGATGATTATGATAGTAATTTCATACTGCTTTTACTTCAGTTGTTAATCTTGATAGAGGTTTAAGCCATGTTATTATTGTTAAGAGGTAGACATGTTTGAATGTCATGGAATGTTTGCTTGGGTGGGATATGATTGATTTGCTTGTGAGTACATTCAAAGTACTCAACTGGCCTTTGACGTGGTCAGGGTTAGGATCTGTTTTCCGTTAGGAGTCGGAGTATTTGTGGGCTAGGAGAGTAACCCAAAAAGATCCGTGTGGAGTGGAGCTGTGCTAGGATCGTACTGCCATAGATAGAGTTTCCTCTTCAGATATCTCTGGAGTAGCCACCGAGGACTACTATGTATCACTCCAACCTCAGTGCACTGTTGAGTCTTGGAGCCTTGCATGCTGACATTGTAAAGTCGTGTTGTTCAATAAAGCTCTCTTTTGTTGAATGGTTTGTACCTCTTATTCATGAATTGTAAAAGTACACGCCAAGTTGATTTCCTGGGCTGACATGTGGGGCGGTCCGTTTGAATACAGTGCTATTTTGCTATAATCAAACGGGGTGCCACGATGAATAAAGAAGGGGCATGAGTGTGTAAATGCAACTGAGGGGACTGAAACATTTCTGCCACTTCACCATATGCAGAAAACACTTCACCAATCACCTCCGCGGATACACATTGTTGGACTTGATGGATTGTTACATGAAGAACTTTGCCACAGAGGTAAGGAATCAAATCCAACAAGTGGTGTGCATGAATACCTTCACTCTTAGGCCGAGTTCCTGTTGTAGACCATGTGTCGAACACTTGTTAGCAATATTTGCAGTTCCAGTTCCGCCGCCATCTCCTACTGCCACCAAGATGTGCATGATCTAGTGCAGAATGTCGGAATTTTACCACTATGAACGTGTTCTTGACCGGTCTACTGTTGATCAACGCCACTAGAGAAAAACGCACCTAAGCCGGGATCCCTGACACAGAGGGGGGGGGGGTTTATAGGAGTTCGAAACTCCAAAAGCATCGAAAGACCAATCACGTCGTCGAGAATTTTAAGACTAATTCAGGCAAGACGTGCTCATGATTCAGAAGGTCCAAAGATTGAGTAAGTGAAGCAATGAACTGAGGAGAATATATTAGCTGAAATACTCGATTATGCAGGGGGTTCAACCTGTATACTATCATGCCTGTTACACGGCTTATACTATATAGCCAGCAACAGGATCTAAAGAGAAAGAAGATAAACAGTGGATGACTAAGGGCCCTCGGATCGCCGCAGATAGACGGTAATGAGTGAAGCCGTAGCTGAGCGAATAAACAGTAAAAGTGTTAGTACTGCTTTGTTTAGAAATCTTCATCAGCATTAAGGATTCTCCTTAAGCCCTTCCCTCAAAAAAAAACTTCCCTAAAAAAAAGGATTCTCCTTAAGCAACAGGTGCCTCGGGTCAGCCTGGACGGCACGAGCGGGCTTTCCGGCCCGCTCGTGGCCCGTTTAGGACCGGCCCGTACGGTCCAGGCCCGACAGGAAAACTAGCCGGTCCGAGCCCAGAAAAGGAGACCGAATTTTTTTCGGTCCGGTCCGGTCTTTATCCGGGCCGACCGAGCGGACCGCAGGCGGCAAGGCCCATCAAGTGTACAGAACTACAGATCTAGCCATCGAGAGGCCCACCCCGAGCCGAGCGACCCCCTCCCCTCGTTCCATTCCGCCCTGGCTCGATTCCTTCTGCGTTCTGCCCCCTCCAGCGCCTCCTCCTCTGTTCCTCTATCCCTAACCCTAACCCAGGCGACGGCGCCGTTGCCCGCGGCTCTCCCTTCACCGACGGCGCCATCTGGTCCGAGTCCAAGCTGGAGGAGCACGTGTACGTCGGGGAGGCAGCAAGGCCAGCACGCCGTCGGTCCGTCCTTCCCTGGTTCCTCACGGAGCGCCACAAAGAGGAAAAGGTAGCCTCCTGAGATCTCTGTTCTTAAGTTTTTCATACTCCCAAGCCCCAATCCCGATTGGTATCTTCCTCTAATCTACGTCACAGAGTAGATGTTGTAGTTTAGTGAGCTGAACAATCTTGCTGGCAAGTCTTTGATTTGGTGAGGAGATAATGGTGAAGGAGAAGGAGGATTATGTGCTGTTTTATTTGTACATAATGGTCAGGAGATAGTTGTGTTTATTTGCACTAGTAGTAGATGATTTGGTCAGGAGATAATGGTGAAGGAGAAGGGGAATGAGAGGGGGATTTTGTGCTGTTTTTTTGTAGATAATGGCAGGAGATAAATTATGTTTATTTGCACTAGTAGTAGATGATTTGGTCAGGAGATAATGGTGAAGGAGAAGGGGAATGAGAGGGGGATTATGTGCTGTTTTTTATAGATAATGGTCAGGAGATAATTATGTTTATTTGCACTAGTACTAGATGATTTTCTATGCTACAAAAAGAAGAAGATGAATTTTTTGCGCTTGATTAATGTACTGACTGCAGATATTATGTGCTGTTTTTTGTAGATAATGGTGAAGGAGAAGGGGAATGAGAAGGGAAAGGGTGCTGTTTTTTGTAGATATTATGTGCTGTTTTTTGGACAGCCTAAACTGTGGCAAAAAAGATCAACATGGCACTCCCAGGATAACCCACGGTCTAAATAGTGGCCAAAAAGCTGAATAGAGCAGCTACAGGGCAGCTACAGTCTAAACAATGACACTACAGGGCAGCTACAGTCTACAAACCACACAGCAGCCTAAACAGTGGTCAGCAGAGCACTCCCAGCCATCGGTCCCATACGGTCCATTCGGGCTGACCGAGCTTTTGCTGCTTCGGTCCGGTCCTATAAAACAGGCTCGCTGGCCACCTCGGTCCGGTCCGGACCGGACCGGCCGCGGCCGGTCCAAAGGCTGGCTCGGTCAAAGCCCGGACCGGACCGGACCGCGTCCACCCTGAGCCTCGGGCCAGATAGGGAGGGAGGCTCTCGCCTCAAAATAGCAAACTGGGAACTGACGGCGAGAGACAGTGCGAGATGTGCGCAGCAGGGAGTGGGCACCCGCTTGCATGCTCCACGAACGCCGAGACAAGGGGAAGGAGGAGAAAAACAACCGCCGGCCGGCAACCAGGCTTGGACGACCGACCGAGCGAGTAGTTAGCTAGCCTAGGTATAGCACTGGCACCCCGGCCGGCAGGCAGCCATACATGGCCGCCACCGTGGCCGCGCGGTGGTGGGAGGACGCGGCGATCTCGGTGGGGATGGTTGCCGTGCAGCTTGCCGGCGCGGCGTACATGGTGGTGCTGACGCCGATCCTGGCGCTGGGCCTGGACCCGCTCTTCCTGGTGACTTTCGGCAGCCTCTCCACGGGGATCCTCACCCTCCCTTTCGCCCTCAACCTCGACAGGTAGGAGGTATCTCGCTCTCGCGTGCATGCATGCGCATTGAACAATTCGTTAGCCCACCTTGCTGCTTTCATCATGTGTGGCAGGAACAAATGGCCATCGGAGCTGAGCAATAGGTTGATCCTTGAGTTGGTGGTGCTGTCTCTGGGAGGGTAAGAAACTAAAGCAAACATATACGGAGTATGTTCATGAACATATATGTATGTATGCTTTATTTATTAATGAATTGCTTACAGGGTGACTGTGTTCCAAGCCCTCATGCTGGATGGCATGAAGAAGACATCCCCCGCCATCGCCTCCGCGATGCTGAACCTGGCCCCGGGATTCATCTTCGTTGTCGCGGGCTGCCTCCGGTATTATATTTGTTGCCGTCTGCTAAATGTTTGGAGGGCAGCGAGTGTGATCTGTAAATAAATAATTGTAGGTTTGAGAGGGTTGATCTCAAGTGCCGGTACACAAGAGCCAAGATAGTGGGGACTCTTCTGTGCCTGGGGGGAGCCATCACCATGAGCATCCTGCAGAGCCCTGCCACTCCACCGGGCCGAAGATCGCCAGACCTAGCAGCCTGGGTCGTCGGTTGCCTGTGCCTCCTGGGTGCGGTGCTCGTGCTCTCGGGCACGATAATCCTGCAGGTTCACTTCCATGCTCACAAATAACTTGATTAACTTACCGTCTTGCGTGTCTTGGCCCTGATGCATGCATGCGCAATTGCAGGCAGCAACCCTGATCCGTTTCCCGGCACCTTTTACCCTCTGCGCCATGACCTCACTCATCGGCGCCTTGCTGACAGGGATGTTCCAGGTGTTTACCACAGGGAGGCTCGGCCCTGGGACGCCCCAGATCAGCACCGGAATAATCCTCTCCCTTGTGTTTGTGGTGCGTGCTTGCCAAAACTTGTGTGAAATGAGCGACCATGCGGCTACTGAGGCTGAGGTTGACGTAGTACATTGTAACAACATAACAGGGTAGTCTGGTGAGCTCCGTGTCCATCATGTACCAGACGTGGGTGCTAGAGAAGAAGGGGCCTGTGCTCGTCTCACTGTTTAGCCCCACGCAGACCGTGGGTTCCGCAATCTTCTCCGCCCTCTTCTTGGGGCGGGTGGTGCAACCAGCAAGGTTCGTACAAGCATACATACATGCATACCCTGAGATAAGAGTTCATGCATGATGAGAGAAAAGTACCTATATACTATTATTGGGAAAGCTAGTCTAAAGAAATGCTTCCTTCAAGTTGCATGTGTTTCCATGGCATAACCCTGAGATAAGATCGAGTACAATTTTCTTGGGTTTTCATGTTTTCCATGGCAAGGAATAGGCTGATATTTTTGGGGGCTTTGCTTTGCTGCAGCATACTAGGGATGGTATTTCTTTTCTCCGGCCTTTATGCAGTTCTGTGGGCAAAGAAGAAAGAAGGCCATGTTCTTCCTCCTGCAGACAGGGTCGTGGCAGACGATATAGAGAAACCACTCTTGCTTCCACGCTAGCTTTTGTTTTAATATCTAGAGACAGGGTTCATACAGCAAAAATCAAAGATCGTATAGTTCTCCTTGTTTGATTTTTGTAAACAAGTAGTACTGTACTATGTTCATACTGACAAGATACTGCAATAGGATCGAGTAGATCAGTAGCATCAGATTGTAGAGCACTGATAGAGGTAAGGTGAAATGAAGAATACCAAGCACTTGCACTGAC